GCATCAGCTATATAGAGGGTGGAAAATCGTGTAAGAAAAACCTGCGGCACTCTGCACCAACCTCATCGGCCCTATTTCTCCCATTCTCTCTTTCTCGCTCTTTCTCGTCGCTTTCTACCCTTCATTGTCCTCGTTCTCGTTCGACCCCCGCCGGTAATAGACGGCGGTTCTACTTAAGTGCGGGGCACGCCGTTGCGCCCCCATCCTACTCCCCGGCTCTCTTCGTCCCTTCCGCTTTTCCACCCTCTCCTCTGCCTCTCGCTCTCCTTCGTCCTTCTTCGTCCCGATCCTTTTATCCTCGCGCGTTTAAAAGGGACGTATGTATGTATGGCCCCGTGTACGCCGCTTTTATGTGAAATTCTTGGGGCGAGCATCGGAAGATTTTTTTTTCAGAGGAACGCGCGTCGCTTTTGTATGCGTACACACACGCACGTCCGCATGGTCCACATGACACACCGGTGTCGCGCGCTCGTTAATTTAATTAACCCTACGGACACTTCCGGCACCAACGTGGACGGCCAGCATGCTCTGTGTCGTACTTTCCACGATAATGCGCACGAGGTTGACCCCTCCCCCGCGCAACGACGTCGTCACTTTCGTTGATCCGGGTGACAGAGTTCGGGGGAAGACGAGGGGCAGGGAGGGTGGCGAAATTATGCACGCAGAATGACGGCAACGTAGTGTCTCGTCGTGTGACACTACTTCGTGTGACATTATATGATCGTTCGAAATGTTGCAGACGCTAATGGGCGTAACTATGTAGTGATTTTGTTGGGATGTGTTAAGAAGACTTTTTTTTTAATTCTTGATAATCTGTTTTTAAGATTACAATTATCTTTTTGTAAACAATTGGAATTAGTAAAACTTATATATATAGACATATTTATAAATTTATATTATTTAAATTTATATATATAGTATATTTTAATATATTTTTATGTAAATAGCATCTAATAATTTGAGAATGATTTTTTCTTCTATTATTTTTTAAGAATTATTTAATATTATTTAATCTTCTCAGTATAGCATGACAATATTTTTGAAATAATATATTTTTAAAAAATATATTCTTGCATAATAAATATAAAATTACATATATATATTTTTTACTGTACATTTATGTACATAAATTAAAAAATATATAATACACATATATATATGTGTGTGTGTGTGTGTGTGTGTGTGTGTGCGTGCACTTAATAAAAATTAAATTTTTAGCTGAATAATCTTACAATAAAAAGCATTTAAAAATCTATAAAAATAGGAGAAAAGAACTCTGGAGCTTTCTCTGCATCTTTTACTAGATTGTCATGTATCATACAGATTGTGCAGTATATATCACTTATGGTGCAATAGTAAAAAGGAAAGTTTCGTGATTTCAGTAAGCTGAACATCTGAGAAAGACATTTCATCTCCATCTTAGAAACTACGATTATCACCTCGATTTCTGCTGTGTCTTGAATACTAGTTATAATAAGCCAGCGGCTTCATAATATCGATATCGTCGTTATCGCGTGATTATTACGCAATCTAGAGAAGTCGTGGACGATCGCCAAGCCTTTCCCGTTCCCGCTGTCGGTTATTATTATTATCATCATTATTGTTATCATTATTACTATACCTGTGGGTTTGGAGGGGAGCTGCGAAGCTCTCTCTCGTCGACGATAATATAATTACCTACACCGACAAGAAAATTACATCGTACCCTCTCGCGTTGTCCCGCAAGTCTATGCAACACGGATGTGATACACGCGAGCGCGCGTTCGTCGGTGGTAGTGCGAGATAATAAAGTTGATAAGAGCGTAGAGGGTCGCTCCGCACTCCCTACCCACCGAAAGAGAGCAAACGGGGTAGCGCCGGAGGAAGGGGTGGATAAAGGCGAACGGTGATATGCGAGAAACGGGGTGCGAGCGAGAGAACGGCTAGTGGTGCTATCGAGGGTGCGGCGGGGTGGATGGGCGTGGCCGGCATCTGCTGGCGAGGCAGATGATTGGACGGTCCGCGGGGCGGCTTCGTCAAATAAAATCCAATCGTTGAGACCAAAGGAATGCGAATCTCCAGGCTTTTTTCCTACCCTTGGTACTACGAAGCGGCGAGCCGTTTACCCTCCTCTTTCTACCGCTTCCTCTCCCTCCCCCCCTCCTGTGATCCCCACCGGGGTGGTGTGTGCCTTCCCTCTCGCCTCCTCCCGCCTTTCTCTTTTCCTTCGCTCCTCAAGGGGGTGCGCACAGCGCCGTTTGATGGGAGTATGATTTTATTACGGCATTACCGAGCGAGCCAAACCCCGAATTGCTCGGCTTATAGTCCGTATTATCTCACCTAAGAGGAAAGGAAGGGGTGGCGGAGAAACGGTGAGTGGAGCGGGCAAAACGGGGTGGTCAGAGGAGAGAGAAGGGACACGGAGCATCCACCCCTTCGGTGGCGTACCCTTCTTCGGGTAAGGCCACTGCCTGCACGTACGTACGGGGTGGCGTTTCGAGAACGCCGGCAACGCCGGTTGGGGGAGGGAGCTGGGGGGGAAACGAGTGAGCCACCTATATGCTTTTGTGGGCCTTCATTCGAGGGTTGCATGCTCTCACGTTGCCGCCGCCACCACTGACCCCCCTTCCGTGCGTTCGGAAGGCACGCACGCAGGCACGTCAGTTGACATCCCGCTGCCGAAATCGCACGTCCTTGTCCGTTGTCGTCGGACGTGAAGTGAAGTTGCGTGCGCGATCATGTGACTCGCGCGATCCCGCACGGTGGGATCTTCCGCGACGAGGATCTCGCGGGAAAAGGGGGTTCAGACTTTCCTTTCCTTCGAGCCGGGTACGTGTTGTTGAAAACACGATGAGAATTTAGTATTTTTAAATACTTGAACCAAGTGAATATTTCAGTTGCAATGTCAATGTGCATCATGCGATCGACAGTGACTTTAAAATAATTATCGCGGTTACTCAACGTGCGGAAATCTGCTACCAATCTCCCGAGCAATAAATCCGAAGGAATCGAAGGCGATATGCTGATATGTGATTAGTGAAGTAGTTTGTGAAGATTGAGTAATTTTAAATAAAAAGAACACACTGCACGACAATCTTTGACGATCTTAATTCAAACATAAAAATGTGATCTCGGATTGATTTTTTTCGCGCGAATCTTATACGAGATAAACGGCAATCAGTTGTCAATCAGTAAGCATCTAAAACAATGATAAACCTTATAATATTATCTAAAATTCATGGAGACAAATCAATTAACTATAACGTAAGAAATAAAATAATCGCGCTTCGCTGATTAGTATATCAAGTCCGAAGCTAGCTAGAAGAGAACGTTCAATCCTTTCTTCAACTAAGAATCGTCCTATAAGACGACGATTGTAATAATCGGTGGGCCAAGCAGCCGTGATATGTTCCCCTCGTCAGCGGCGATGCTGAAGAATCTGCAGCAGAGTGCCATGACCTCGCCCTTCCTGATGGAGAACCTGCTCCAGAGCAAGGCGTCGCCGGGGACGGATCTCACTAGTCTGACCTTGAATTGGGCGGCGAGTCTGGTAGCGCGACAGCGCGAGAGAGAATGCGAGGCGAGTCTCAGACTCGTTCGAGACCGATCCTCCCCCAACGATCTCGTCCAGGATCACCTGGACCAACGATCCGGCACGATCGGCGGACGCGATCGCATAATGATCGATTGCGGCGGCAGGGATCAGCAGAGGTCCAGCGGCAGTAGATCCATTGAACGACAACATGATCGGATGCAGCTCCTTCAACGTGAGAAGGAGGTCCTGGACCGGAGTCAGGGCGTATATGTCGACATGGAGAACGATAGGATGGACGGGCCGGTGATGGTAGACCGATTGTGCGCGATGGAGAGGCTCTGTAATGAGAGGATCGACAATCGATCTAATTCCGGTGTCGAGTCCTGTAACTCGAACGTAGATGAGGATCCGATTCCGGGCGCAGAATTGGATGGTGGTCTTCAACCGGCCGACAGGGATGAGATGGTGCTGGGCGAGCGTGTCTCCGCGATCGAGATAGACAGACGGTACGACCTTGGATGCAGAAACGTCATGCACACGTCCGATGAGATGACGATCGCATCGGGGGAGAGGGAGGCGACGGTGACGGCGGCGGCAACGGTGGTCGAGCGTGCCGTCGACAGAATAGGCGAGAGGACCACCGCCTGTTCCTGCGGCGACGAGCAGTGCTCTGGACCAGCGTGCAGAACCATCCAGGAGAAGGAGAAGCCGCAACTCAAGTTCAGCGTTAGCGCCATACTCGGCGGTAATCATGACAGGAGGCCACATTCCGGTAATTCATTGATTAATACTGACGTACACGATAGCCAGAGTTAGGAAGCGTTACTTTTCCATTACTTTTTATAATAAACATGACGTTGCAATGTTTTATAACTATAAACGCTAAGGTTGTGTCAAGGTTGGATAAGTCTACTTTTCCAACCTTGGCGCAACCTTAGTATTTAGTTATAAAACATTGCAACGTTATTGTCAAATTGTTTAACGGAAAAGTAATGGAAAAAGTAAGTAAAATGCTTTCCTCTGTCAATAGCTATCCTGGCACTAATTCCTGAGAAATTGATAAGGAAGGTTTAGTCCTTTTGAAACATCATTCTATGTTAATGAAATTCTTGTAGTTTGAAAAAGGAGAGAAAAAAATGAGGGAGAGGAAAAAAAAGTGAAAAATATTATGAAATATCAGCAAACATATTGAGATAATTTATTTACAAATAAAAGGCGATATTTGGTGACTATATTAGTTTATCAGTCATCGTAAATACAATGTTCGGAAATTACAAGATTTTTATAGTCTAATTGGAAAAAAGAAAAAGTAACAATACAAAGTATTTTAAGAAATATGGGAAAATTAATTGCGAAGCAAAAGAAAGACATAATTAAACTGATAATTATCCTGTTTATTGATGGGTTGATCAAAACAGATTTAAATTTTTTAACAACTATATTTGTTCTGTTAACAGAGAAGTAAACTCAAACGGTTCAAAGAATCCTACATTATTACGAATGTCGTAATTTAAAAACACAGAGAAAAATAAGAAAGAAAGGAATGAGAAAATATTTAAAAGTGGAACAATATATATATATATACATATACATAAATTAAAAACATAATGAAAAAGACAAACGTGTCAAGATAATTTATTAATAAATAACATTAATTAATGCATTCATTAAACATCGTAAACATAATATTCGCAAAATTATGATTTACAATGGAAAAGATAATAGGATGATAAAGATACTATAAAGAAATATATTTTTTAAAGAAATATAAAGATAAATCGTTACTAGACAGAAAATTCCATGATAGTTCATTAATAAATACTGACAATTATTTATTGTTTGATATTAGTCAAATTTGTCTGCGACATTTCATCTTTATAATTAGAATATAATTTTTAAATTGCGTATTATTCATTGTAAATAATGAAGAAGGTATTAAAGGTACGAGAAAATAGCACTGGAAATAATTACATATTTAAATGCATATATCTATTTTCTTATACTTTTTTCAAGTAACAAATAGGAATTAAATGAAATATGTTAGTACGTCCAGTAGTATGTATATATTTACTTACATCTTAGGGTCGACGATCGCCGATTGCGATCTCAGATTTGTTTGCTCTCGATGGAATGACATTGTCGAGAAGAATTTCACGCGGTGATCTGAGAGTGTTGAAACAAAGCTCACCACAAATCAGTGTCGTGCGCAGACTTCTGTCGCCGGTCCCTAAATCTCATCCGCACACCCTCAAGACGAGTCGCAGCGTGCGTGCGGGGTGGAGCGCACAGGGCGTCAGCTGGCCCGCCACTTACCTTCACCCCAATATTAAGCCCTTACGATTGGTGCCTATAATATTAGACAAGCAGCAGGATTCAATGATGTATTGCCGCGTCGCTTGTCGCGCTTTTCCTCCGTTCGGGCGGTGATACATCTCGAATATTTGTCATTGCAAATTAATACGAGAGATAATGGAAAACTACGGCGTCCAATAGTACAATTGTGTCATTTATTTAGCAGTAATAATGCAAAAATGTAGCATTTATAACAAGAACAAAAGCATTAATAATATAATGAAACATTGTGTTGTTTCGTATTTTCATACTTAATCTTTCATTACATTAAGGTGGTTAGGATACTCCAGTTATAAATTCGCTAAATGCTATTTATATACATTGTTATATTTATATTATTAAACACAAATTGTTTCACAATTTCAAAATAAATTTTGTATTTATCTTCATGTAGGATGTATAAAACGTTATCTATCAATTTTTATTTAATTGTAAATCAGCAAAAATAATAATTGAAATTGAGGTATATAATGTTGAAATGTTATCAGAAACACCGCACGCAGATAATTACGTTGAGAGAAAAATTACGCGAGTAATATAAGGTTAACAAATAAAAAAATGTCTTACTTAAATGTTACTTAAATATTAAAATTAATTGTGGCAGTGACGTAATGCTCTACGATAAAAGATTCTCACTCCAAAATAATTGCAATCCTCTTCTGATCTTATCTCTGCAATTCTCATATTTATCACAATCTTACAATTGATAACCGAAGGTTCGTAACCGATCTTTCGGCCCAAGGATCCGCGATTTTCCTCCGTCACCTCAATTCTGAGAAAAATTGTTACAGATTACAGATCGTTCCGCGCGTGGGTTACAATACCGTCCCGTCATTTGCAGAACACCCCCGAATATTCGCGAGGGTCCGGCGGACCCTCGCACACGCATACACGCCAATCTTCAGCCGGCGTGTCCTCATTGTCACGCTTTCCTCCACGGTGGCCGAGCCACCCCATCCCTCCCCTTCTCTTCTCCGTCTCATCCACGCCACTCTCCGGCCGGCGTGTCCTCATTGTCACTCTTCCCTCCACGGTGGCCGAGCCACCCCATCCCTCCCCTTCTCTTCTCCGTCTCCTCCCGCGCTTATGATTGACACGAGTCGATAAAGACCGCGTGCGCGCGCGATAAACGCGCGTAGAGACGTACTAGATGTATAAACTGTGCACAAGAGAGAAGAGTGGACCGTCGCACGAGGATGGCGAGGGGCCAGGCAGAAGAGAGGTGCGTGTGTGGAGCTCTACGAAGGTGGAGAGAGTCGAATGTTGCATTTAACATCGGGCGAATTGCACCCATCTGCCGGCACAGAAGGATACGCGGGGGTGGTAAAGGGAACATCGCGCGGGCGGCAGGGGGTGAGAAGGGAGAGAGAGAGAGAGAGAGAGGGCCCGAGCGGGGGGGTGGCAATGGGGAAATTTGGTGCGTTCGAGATACGCAGTGGGAGGGAGAGAGGGAGGGAGCTTCGTGCGTTTGTCGGATAGCGGATGCATTGACCGTGCCACGTGCATGTGTTACATCCCCCTTCGTTCTCCATACGTACCGACCGAGACCGCACCCCTCTTTCTCCATCCCTCCCTCCCTCCCTCCCTCCTGCCGACCTCTCACCGCGAATAGACCCTCCAGCATCCATCGGGAGCGCGGTACCACCGTCCTCCCACTGTCCACCCCTTCTCTTCTACCTCCTCTTCCTCCTCCTCCTCCTCCTCCTCCTCCTCTTCCTCCTCGCGTATACATCCTCGCCTCTGCCCCTGTTCCCCACCGTACCCCGATGGTAACCAACCCCCCCCGCGGGCTTGTACGTCATGTCGAAATGTTGTGAAATAATTGCGCGAAAAAGTGATTGGCAACAAACTCGAAATTCATCGACGAGAGACGCGAGGGCCGCTCGCGGCGGGACGGGAATTTGGGTGAGGGGGCCGCGAGGGAGTGGGATGGTTGAAACTGCGACGGATGATCCAGCGCGGGGATGACGCGGGGGAGGAGGGAGGGAAGGGGGTCGGTGTCTGACGGGCGAGCGACGTTGAATTTCGAATAGCATTTTCACCAATCGTCCCGCGATTTACCGTTCTCCCACCCCCTCCCCTCCCCCTCTTCCTCATCGCGTCCACCCCCGCCCGTTCCCACGTGAGAGCCGCCACTCGCGGCCCATGTTTTTTGTTGCGTATCACAACGATTATTGATATTTTTCGATATCGACTGTGTGTCGAACACGACGGACCTGGTTTTAATACGCATATCTCCCGTGGAAAAACGTCGCATTTTATTCGTTGGTTAATAAAATAGTTAAAAGAAGGACAATTCGAAGGAGTTGACCGTAGATTCCGATTCAGAATACTAAGTTAGACGTGGTAAATATTTACCTGACAAATTATGTTTAGTGAAAATCGATGAAATGATGTATCATAGACAAGATACGTTGTTAACTTTTATTAAAAAAGTAGGCTTTGATCATAAGTATGAAACACCCTCAAAAGTTAACGTTTCATATGTAACGAAAATTAAATTAAAAAAACAGTGTTATTGAAAAATAACATTTATTTTTATAACAGTTTTGATATTTTGTTAGTCCTCCTTTGCTTTTTATTACACTTTTTATTACATTTTGAGGGAATAAACTAAGGACCTTATTCTGTAACTCTTAACGACTGTAACGTTATAGTATCATTGCGCGCTTTTTTTATCATGTATAAATCCTGCGCAATGACACTGTAACACTACAATCATTAAGAGTTATCGAATGGATTCCTAAAGGTGCTTCATGATTAAGTAATATTTTTTGTTTGTAACAAAAGAAGAAAAAGATCGAAATTATTTGCGTCATCGTATTGTGTTATCGTAAAATGAGATTAGAAATGACGTATAATATAATGCGTATTGTAGCTGCTTAATTTAAAAATGCATGAATTTTTAAATACATGTCAGTGTCATAAACGTCATTGTAAATGAGAATTAATCGGGATATGTGCGTTCATATTACATGTAAGAGTCATAAAAATTAGACTGACAATCAGAGAAGATAAGCGTATTATTAAATTATGTTACATCAATTCTGCGTTATTCAATAGATGGAACAAAGAAAGATTGAACCGAATGAGCAAAAAAGATGAAAAATTAACATTACTTAATACATAAATTCATAAAATGAATTCCGAAACTTACTTAACTCATTCTCAGTTGTAAAGAATAATAAATTAAATAATTAAAATAAGAAAAAACGAAGGAGATGCAAAAGGGAACAAAAATGACGTTTTATTAGTCAGGACGTAAAATAATATAAATTTAAAATAAAATAATTTAAACAAAAAAGGACCGCTTTCTTCAAAAAAGTCCAACACTGAGAAAAATGTCTAATTGGATTAATTGTAATTCTGGTTAAAAACGAACGAATTCGAATTTTCAACTAGAATTATAGAGATAATTGGAATTCTACTTGAAATAATCAGAATCTATGGTTCGTTTATTTTCAATCAGACATTCTTCTCATTGAAGTAATAGAAAAAGAAATGATCCATGGACAAAAATGATAAAGTTAAAACCGACTTTTTGTTCAAAGACGCAGAGAAAGAGTAGAATTAATAAATTAAAAATTAATCAAATGTCAAAAATAGAAGCGCATTGTGCTCGTATTCAATAATAAAACTTAATATCATGAATGTGAGGGTCTGCATCATTCCCTTCAGGATTCGAGAACGTTCAGATCCTCGTGAAAAATCGGTTCGCCAAGCCTATCCTAAGACAAACACGCGCTTCTCTGCAGAGGAACGGGGCATCACCGTGTGTGCTGTTCCACAAACGAGCAGTTCCCCCCCTATTTACGAGGCGGGGACCTGCAGCGCGCGCGGTATCTAGTTAATAATGCATCTCTGACCGTAATCCGAAAGAATAACCAGCGATATATGTTGTAAACCTCGTAACCTAAGGCCCGTGAGGGGGCTGCTTAAGCCTGACACACAAAAAAAAGGACAAGGGCGAAGAGGGAGGGGGTGGGGGGGCACAACTGTAACAACACGCGAGGGCCGTCCCAAAATTTCTCGAGACCGCAGACAGGAGGTTTAATCTCACATGACGCGAGAGAGAGAGAGAAAGAGAGAAAGGGTGGTATTGCTGTAAGAGCTACGGAATGGGAGAGGGAGACCGAAGGGACTAAGAGACTGTCATGTGGGGTAGGTGGGGCGACTTAAAAAACTATTCCCATTCAGTGTTTCCGTTGGAGGCTAAGCCCGGTTATTAGACCGTCGTCGCGGCTAAGCAGAAGCGCTTCTCTCATTGGCCGGCTAGGAAAACAACGATAAAAGGCGATGAGTATTTTATGGGGTACAGCGCGATGGCACAATGGGATACCGTGTATGGGCCATTGTCAGGGTATTGTCTGGTTGCGAACGCAAGGCGAGTTCTCTCTCTCTTTCTCACTTCCTTTTTCACTAGCCTTTTTCTCTCCTTTTCTCCCTCTCTTTCTGCCTCTTTCTCTTTCTTTCCACTTCGGCCTAAAGAGTCTCTATTATTTTATTATTTTCAAACACGTCACTTTTTTAACGAAACCATTCTCTCTCTCTCTCTCTCTTTCTCTCTCTTTCTCTCTCTTTCTCTCTCTTTCTTTCTCTTTTTCTCCCCTTCTCTGGGCGTGGCGGGGTTATAAAAAAATATGTTGGAAATCGCACAGTCGAGGTTACTGGCCCTCTTAGACGCATTATTAATGTGGATAGGTAGACGAATTTGCCTTGATGGAGGGTGAAATCTCATCGGGGAGCAGAACTAGAGAGCCGACTAATTTTTCTTTCATGTTTATATTCTTCTTTTCGAGATGGTACGCGTCAAAGCACTAGTTAACTTTCGTATTGTCAATGAATTTCTTTACTGAGGATATATGAAGGTATCTTTGCACAACGAATACTTACATTTAATTGGGAGATTTTGTTAAATTATACCTACGTTCATTTCGATCAAATAAGCTAACTTTAATATCGGTTTGACTTATTTTTTTATTTTCTTTTTTTTTAATTCTATAAAAAAGAAGATAGAGTTTGAGTAAATTAAAACACGAGATTAAAATTAATCTACATTGGTAAATATATATCGTGCACATAAAGAAAAAGAAATATTATCGAAGAGAAAAAACAAAAAAGAAGAGAAAATTTCTAAAATTATAATACAACAAAGTTATTATTTTATTTTATATATTTTTATAATTTTTAAGTTTTTCTTTCTGTGCCAATTTCTCAGCGAAAATAATAGATAGTTATCAAACTTTTTCTTAACATTAAATATGTTATTGAAATTAATATTTTTCTGAAATAATTCTGGCTTGAAATTAAATGAAGAAAAAAATTTGCTATTCAGAGAATGAAGATTAATTTAAATTTTTATTTTCGAACAGAATTATTATTTCCTTTAGACAAGCAAACATAAAATTCTTTTCAATTTTACTATCTAGCAATATGATACAATCAAAATAAGTTATATAACATCCGTACCGACTGTTGTAGATTAAATGAAAGTTATCTCAGAAAACAATCCCAGCAGTAACGATTCATACAGTACTATAGAAATATGTATATTTCTAAAAGTAGAGACATAAATATTAATAGGAATCTTATAATCACATTTAACAATGCAACAAAGCTTCGTTCTATCATTTTCATTGTAAAAATTCTCGGCAAAATTACATGTAAAAGAATGAAACGCGCATAATACGCGAATGATACGTTTACACGAAAACATTGTATTTTAATTTAATTTAATTTAATTTAATTTAATTTAATTTAATTTAATTTAATTTAGTTTATTGCAAAGCACTATGAAAAAGACTACATGTTAACAGAGTAATAGATATAAAATATGATACAATAGACTATAGTAGACACAAATTTTACGATGTATTATACAACATAAGAATTTTTGAGATAGTCGGTCGCACGAATATCTGGCTATTTACCCCGGCTGGAGGTGTTGAAGCGTGCACCGACAAGAGATCGGGCTCTGCCTGGAGCAGTTAAGGAGGGTTTTAGTCTCGGGGGTGTCGGCCCGAATTATGCAACACGAAGGAATACGGCGACTTAGGTATTCGCTCGCACGTAAATCCGCCACCCCGGGCACATTTCATCGTGAAACACAGCCGAGGTTCACAGCGCGTTCCATATTTAATCGCTCGGCGGTTTACGTCTCTATATTTGGAAGCAATGAGATTTTTGCGAAAAATATTCGTTCAATCCTGGCGTCAGTTAGTATGAATATTTTTACAATCGATGAAGTGTCGCGTTGTATATTTATTGGATTAATAATAAGTGGAAAATCGACCGACAAGTAAATAATACAAATAAGAGAAAGAATCTTACATGGAAAGAATTTTGTTGGACTATTAAAAATACTAACTTTAACTTTCCGCGCGAAATGAGTTTTATTATATTTTAAAACTAGAATATTTTATTTGTGCAGATAATTTTCAAGGACTTCCACCGGAAGCGATACCCGCCTTCTTGCAAAATTTGCAAAATTCAGCTGGTTACAATATCGCCAAGCCGATTGCGAGGCCAGCGGCTTATCATCCTTATCACAGACCGAGTCATCAACCTCCTCAACGGCATTTACCACCGAACGCTCATCACACGTTACAACAACTGTTCTACAGGGGTCCATATTTGACAGGTAAGAAATTCGTATAATTTGAGAATTACAACATGAAACAACACAAATTCAGTTCATCCCTTTTCCAACTTTTCTTAAAAAAAGATATGTCATATCTAATTTAATTATATTAAAAAAAATTTTTAGAACGTTTGAATGCAAAAATTAAAATATTTTTGAATTTTAATAAAATTTTATACCGAGACACTCAGTCAGGATAAAGAATATAAATTTAATTTAAATAAAACAGAATAAGAAGAAATAAAAATATGTAGATATATTAATAATAACTACAAAATAGATTTCTATAATCAATAATACTGTTATATTTTTCTATTATTGAGAAAGTTGACAAGATTGCTGCATAAATGTTGTACATCGTATTTCTGTGTGCGTGTGTGTGTGTGTGTGTGTGTGTGTGTGTGTGTGTGTGTGTGTAGTTTAAATATCATCAGAAATTTATAGTCAAAGATAATATCTGTTAAATTCTTTTTTGTAAATCCAAAACTTTATTTTGTTTATACAAATATCTTTTAAGATTTTACAATAGTATTTACTATAATACTTTTTGGTTAATATTTAAAACAATTTCCTTTAAAATGAGCTCTATTTAACTTTAATGATTTGATATTTACCAGAGATTTTTCAGATATGTCGACATGTATATTTTGCTGGTCGTGAAAGGGTTAATTCAGCATTAACTGTAGCTGCAGATGAAAGCGTAAAATTGCTTTCATTTATTTTCATCAAAAATTGCAAACATTTTATTCGTTCACTTTTTTTAATACTAACTCGATTACTTTAATAATACATTCAGCAATCTAAATCTCCATTTATTGTCATCGTATCCATCCATTTTTTAATAATTATGATATTTTCAAATTAATACACACACACACACACATATATACAAATACCGAGAAAAATATTATAATTGTACCAAGAAGTACAAACAAAACTAATTCTGATCATATGAATCCGATTTTTAATTATTCTAATTGAATTTCCATTATCTCGATTAAAATGTTTAATAACTTTAACTATAAATACAGTCTAATTTTTTACCTTCCTGGTTGAATTTACCAGAATTTCATTTAACGCAACAAGACTTTTTTTTCTGTGCAGATAAATATACAAATATTCTATTTATCGTATATTGATATTCGTAAGTATCGCGTATTCATTATTTTGTAGTCGCGATACTTCACGTGCAGTTAATAAACAACAAACGCGGATGGACGAGAGAGGCGGAAACACGGGCCCGAGGAACGTTTAAAACCGAAACTTCCGCATATGGCGCCAGGCAACGAGCGCGCGCGCGGCCACGTGCGCGGGGGCCGCGCACACACGCTGGGTTTATCGAATATCTTGTTATAGGTAGGCTCGTATGGGACATGGAGTGCATATGAAGTGCAGTGAAAGCACTACCATATTATGTACATGCTCCGCCACAAGGCAAAATGCACGCATGCAACAAGTGCGTGCAAATATCATCGGTGCAGATAATACCATCATGCTCAGCTTGGCAATATCGCGCAGACACGATCTGGAGATTCAATTGCCCGATCTGTTATTAGATGACTTTGATACAATCGCTATCGAGCGAATCAAGCGCTCTGTCCCGTGCGCAGTAACGCGATGTTCGAATGATTTTTTTTTTTCCACGCACATTTCACACTTCTCGTATTTATAGGTACATTTTCTTGTTAGATATTCCTCATGCCTTAACAGATTTCTAAAGTTTTCAGTAGATTGAAAAAAAACTCTTAGGAAAAGCAAAATAAAAAAAGAAACGTCATTTTTGTTTTGAAGAATATTTTAATGTTTTTCCGAATGTCTCTTCTCTAAAATTTGGAAATGTTGAGTAGACTTCTTCGACAACACGAGCATTTGTTTTCTTTTAATTGCACAGATTAATTTTTTGTTAATCCAAGGGAATTTTTCATAGTAACATTCATAATTTTTTATGATCGATATAAATCTGATTTTCAAAATATTTATTATTTCAAAAAAATTTTTTTGAATTTAATACTAAGAGCATAAGGCTTTTTAAATGTCTTTGTCATTTTACACGCTACGGTATGTCAGCGTATTGAAAAATTTTTATTCTATTTAAAATAAAGTATTAATATATTAGAATTTTTTATCTTTAAAAAAAATTTGTTATAAGAATTAAGATTAATGAGATTTTTATGATAAAGGAGCTATATTGAATATATTGCATTTTAAATTTAAATTGAATCATTGAATCGAGAACAGTACATCCATAATTAATTGAGAATAATGAACAATTTATTAAACATTTCTAAATTTTTTATTCAAAAAAGTTTTTCGAATCGCTAAATACAAAGAAAATCTAAACAAATTTTAAATAATAATTCAAATTGATAAACTTAAAATGACGGGAAAAATATGGATTTTTGAAAAATTTTATAATATAATAATAGTTTTTCAAGATGCTAAATATATATTTAATATTAAAATTATCAATTACGATATGTAATATTTGACAGTTTGTAATTGTTACATTACATATTGTGTAATTTACATTTTTTCTGTAATAAATTTATTCAATATTTGATAATAAAAATTTCACCAACCTTAATCTCCTCAAAGAAATTCTTAAAAAGACGAAAGTGTGTCACAATAATATACAATAAACGATATAAAATCTAGTATTTTTACGTTTTTATCGTAACATGTTAAACAATTTTTTAAATTGTAATGCAAGACTTCTAAAAATTAAGAGACCGTAGTATAAAAACACTATAAAAAAAATGATCTTTTCTTTATTAAAGAAGAATTTTTTTTATTAAACTACTCTATATATGCTTTGCCATACATATATAAATTTTCTTTATCGATGTCGCCACTTTTTCTTCTATATATGATCAGTTTCACAATCAGCGAATTGATTGTGAAATATACAAGTAACATTGAATGTAATGCTATAATAAATTTTCTAAAAATTTACATCAACGCGTTATGCTTCTTGTTAACAGTTGCTGGTTCCGGGACTGGAAGTCATCATCCTGGCACGCCCGGTGGAGGCGCCGTGTTTCCGGGGACCATCCAGGGCAGCATCGGTGATTTTTCCGGGACTGGCTTTGTCTTTCCATGGGCGACGAATGCGCGCGGAAAGCCACGCCGGGGAATGATGAGGAGAGCCGTTTTCTCCGATCTTCAGCGACGCGGACTCGAGAAAAGGTTCCAGATACAAAAGTACATCAGCAAGCCGGATCGCAAGAAGCTCGCTGAAAAACTGGGTCTCAAGGACTCACAGGTAAGCGGATGTATCGCATAACGGATGGTCCGAAGAAATTCTTTTTATATACATTGGACAACTCGAGAGACGAAACATTTTCAACATTTGTCGAGTATAATTTCGACATTCGAATACTCGGGGAATAATAATTGAAATATATTATCGTACTGCACTGCCCGACTTGCTCGATTATCTGTATTTGCAGTATTTCAGTATCAGCAATTTAATCGCAAAACCGATTTAATCACGATTTAATTTGTACATTTTTACGTTCGCAATTTCGATAGATTTACAATTGCAGCGAGACGTAATTATTTACCTTCTTCTCGCGCCGACGCGGTTTTCCGTGCGTGCAAATCAATTGCATATCAATTATAGCGCGCATCGAAGCGCATAATTCGATTCCTTGTGATCCAGAATCCTCGCTTTCGATAATCGCATCAGGCATGTCATATGCAGGCAGATTTGCATACGCGATGATAGGCGGATGTGCTCGCGTTGTATTACAATCGAGAGGCTGCGCCGTGAGCATTAGAGACGGCACACGGTGTTTAATCTCGTGCTTAATGATCTCCTCGGCGCAATAGTAGTTCAAACTAATCCGCGCAAACGTGCTAATCTAAACCGTAATTAAACCAGGAAATTCGTTAGCGCTAATAAAAATTACATGATTTTATTATTAGTGGTCAACAGACTGCCGCGTTAATAAGTTTATTTATTATTTTCCTTCTCTCTTGCGACATCATGATTTTTATATGCTAATTATTTTGTGTTTTATCATTTGCGCGATTAGTTCTAAATTAAATTATATCGCTTCCAATACCCTTCAAGGAATTTGATGTAGGATTGTTTGATGTACCAATGATTTACTTAATTATTGATAGAATTGATAAATACGACAAAATTTATCCACAGGCTTTTGTGTTTATCAAATCATTACCCAGATAGCTGCCGTTATTTGTTATCATTTTAATGTCAAAAAGTGATTCGACATTACATATGTCATTTTGACATGAAAATAATAACAAACGTTAACTTATTATCTGGATGGTAAAATATTTAATCCTTAATTACAATTATAAAAAACTACATCCAAGTTCTAAAACGTCTCGTTTCCTTACAGAAATCTAATATTGATCAATTTAACACTACATCGAAAAAAAATGTTTTAACTTTAAGTAATTTATTTGTCAAATAGGTTCAAATAAATATTTAATTGCAGTAAAGAAATATGTACTTGGAACTATTCGAGAAACAAAATACTTGGAAATTTTTTTTCAGTGTAGCCAATTTATTACCGAAAGACAGTTGACAAATGATTATTTATTACTTATTTGGAGTATTACAAGTACAGAACAACAATGCTTTTGATACTTAAAATGAATAATTAACTACTGTCTTTCAGTATTGGATTTTTATAAGAATTTGAAGTACAAGTAAATCTTTGCCTTACAATTATTGATAGCGATAGAACCTCATACACGGTTAAAAAAACAGAAATTTGCTTCCGTTACATGTAATAAAAAATGTACTAAACTTCGTAAAATTTTATGAAACGTACACTAAATTTCATGTACAGATATACCTTTTTAGTTACATAAAATTTAATTTAGTGTCATAAAATTGAATTTAATTTATGTAACTTAAAAGTACATTAAATTTCATGACATTTTTAACAGTGTAATACTAATAATACAAATTGTACCAATCATCTAAAATTTTTTCTTCGAATCCAAATGATTCGTTGCTCGAGAGTTAAAAACTCTAGAATTTTACATCTTATTAAATTTCTAAAAGACTCTGCATCAAAAGATTTTCATCGATTGATAAACTAAAGACTATTCTTGATTGCTTAAATTTATCCATGGAAAAATCATTGATACATTCCTAAAGTTTGTATCGAAGCTAAAAGTGACTTTAAATGTTAATTATTATTTTTGGTATTTAATAAGATATAATTAATATCCAGAGTTTTTCATGTCAATATAATGACTAATGATTTGAACACAAACTTTTTTGTCGTTATTACAATTGCATTAATTTATTTTTTTCTCATTCGCATCGTCATAGTTTTCGATCTTTTCACGATCTTTTCATGATCTCCGCAAGTTGAGTTTCAAGTCTGATTATACGCGACTTCCGGATAATTAGATCGAAACGAGGAAGTCTCTTGAAAGGAATAGTGATTCCCGGGATGACTTCCATGAGAGATAATCACACCGATAACGGGCCAGCATAATCGGGCAGTTAAGCGCGTGCAAGACGCGGGAAGGTGGTACGCAGTGAATATATATATATTGTGCTTAATGACGTTATTAGGGCACTAATTGTCGCTCTAACGAAGTACGAGTTCCTCGGCACCGTGCATCGAGTGAATTCAGTTCCGTTGCGGAGAAACGCCGCCGTCGCTCTCGCCGTCGCCGTCGCCGTCGCCGATTCTCTCACGGCTCCATTCGGGACAGGTTGATAGAGACTAATGCTCGGTTTTGTCGGATGCAAAATCGCCTACCGCTCGAGTACCATACGAGCGAGGCCACGTGCATCGTGCCAGGCGATATGCCAGGCTCGCCTAATTGCGCGACCAGGTACACCGATTTCAAGAACGATCAGGCAGTCGTAGCCCATTAAATCTCGGTATAATAATAATACGCCTCGCCGCTTCGCGTAATTAACTTTGCGTAATTAGCTTCGCGATTAATTACTCTAATCGCGCGAAAGAGCCGTCGGAGGAGACAAACACAATGTTGCTTGCGTCTTTCACTGCTAAATGTGTCTGATTCACTCATGAGATGTTTGATGAATATTTAAAGCAGCATTAAATGCATTCAGCATTAACCCTAATCGCTCTGAAATTTCCTTTACTAGTATTTGTGAGTTTCGTGTATTTCTGAAATAATATATCTTTGCTTAAAGTTAATATAATTGACCAATTTTTTTTTCATTTTAAAGTTCAAAGGAATATGTGACTTAAAATTATATAAGGTTGTGAAAAATATTTATTGCTACAACAATTTTTCATAACGTAATTGAGAAAAATCCGAATTTACTGGACGCGATTAAAATTCATTACATTTACAGCATTACTGTTGGAAAATGATAATTAATGGTTGCATTAGATAGAAAATGAAATTTCTTAAATATTATTTTTTACTCTTATTGGATGTATTTTATTTAATTTCTTAAACGTTCTACTTCACACTGAAACATTTTCTATAATTGTATAAGTTTTACATAAGAATATTTGACATCTGCTGTTGTTCCCTACTACCATTCGAGAGCTTGCTCTGTCAATAAACGACTGGCTCATTCGTTTATTTAAATACGGACGATTTGGGCGACGCACGGAATTGGAATAAAAACCTCGATGGCCGCGTTTGACTGTCAGTGGATCGTGGACATTCGCGCGTACGCTGAAAACGACCAAGCTGTGCTCATGAAATCGAATGAAACTAACTCACATAGCGCGCCATTTCCGGATATCGTTTAGTTCCATTAGCGTCACACCGAGCGGTCTCACATGTAGCAGCGCGCGATATACGTTGCATACACCTACGTGTATGCAACTAATGAACTGGCATCGCCCGATTAACCCCATACGACCCGTGGGGATATTATGTGTTTCACTCCCTTCCTCTGTTGCACACAGCCACACTCGCTCTTTCTTCGTGTACGTCAACGCGATACGTCGATACCGCCCGTGATCTACTCGCGATGCACGTATATGTGAAACGTACGCCTGCAAGTCGATACTTGAAGGTGCGCAGCTCCATCCGAGATAATTGAGTTTACTCTGTAACATGTATTATGCAGAGAAACAGATCGTTGCTTAGATTGTTATTGGCTTTCTTGGTTCGAAGAGAAGAAAAGATTTCGTAAAAGACAACGAAGGATTAAATGTGCTGAAAAAATAAGATTAAGGATGAGAATAAAAATATAATCAGTGATTTAAATCAGTGATTTAATTTTAGTGGTCGAAAAGAAGAAAAGATTTCGTAGTAGACAGTTGAAGGATTAGATATACTGAAAGGATAAGAGAGATTAAGGATAGGGATGAAAATATAAATCAGTGATTTAATTATGAGGATTATTTTTTGAACTACAATACAATTGCTTTTAAAATGAATCTTATAAATTATGTATCTCCTCTCATTCTGTTGTGTAAACGAGAAATAATATCCGGCTGTTTAAAAAGCAAATAGAGAAAAATATTAGGTGTTGGAATTAATTCGTAGCGTTTTACAAGTGATGGGAAGTACTTTCATTAATGTATTTTTTAATGCTCATGTGAAATAAATAACATTCTTTCATTAAAAAACGCTACGAATTAATTCCAACACCTAATAATTATCATAAAAGAAATATCAGAAATATTATTAAAGATTAAAAGACACTATTATATATTAAAAGAGATATTATTCGTTTCCTAATAATATTTTTAATAAAATCCGGATGATAATCTCACAAATAAATGGATTTAATGTTTAAATATTATGTAATTATCGTTTCGTGTGAGATTGAAATATTATTAATGCGACAAGATTGAAAGAAGAAGCGATCTTTAGTTGAATTAATGGCGATCAGTAAACTTTTAAATATTATGTAAGATAAAACTATTATAATTTTAATGGTTTACCATCTGCTTTGTGAATTCATTTTAGACGCTATATAATTTGTGTCAGATTTCGGGATTCAGATCAGATTTCGTTTCAGATTTTATTTATAATTTTATCTACATGTCGTGTGTTTTGATACCTATATGTGTAATATTTTAATGTATATTTTATACACGCTCGCGTATTTTGTTTTTTCAAATATTTTTCTTCAATTATACAGCATATGAAATTAAATAGAATTTTATTTTGAATCTCGATAGAAATTGTAGATTATACATCTATCATAATTATAAATTACTCATTTGTTACAACTACTACACAATCTAAAAAACGAAATTTTTCGAAAAATAAATAAATATTTTATCATCAATATTTTGGAATATTAATTTTATCATGCAATTTCGA